TATACAGTACATATATATATATGTTCTTTTTCATGTTCTTTTCCATTATGGTTTATCCCAGGATATTGAATATAGCTCCCTGTGCTATACGGTAGGACCTTGTTGTTTATCCATCCTGTATATAATAGTTTGCATCTGCTCATCCCAAACTCCCAATCAGGAAGGAAACTGTTGTTTATTGAACACCTTCTAGAAGCCAAGCTCTGGACTTGGTAATCTCCCATCTCTTGATCCTGTCAGAGGCAGGTTCTATGATGATTCGCATTTTAGGGAGGAGGCCCGCTGCACAGCACAACTCCAGGGGGGTCACTCCTGCCCCCAGTTGCACGGCGTGCAGTCTGCTCCGGCCTCCAGAGTAGCCCGGAGAGGGTCGCAGAGCTGGCACGTGAATCCAGATTGGAGTGACCATCAGAAACACTCTTCACCTCCCTGTTTGGGTCCAGGCAGAGTGAGTGGCTGTGCGGTACAATGGTTTGAACCCCTGGATGGAGACAGCAGAAAGGGGTGGGAGGAGTGGAAGGCCCAGTGTTCTCAGGTCTCTCGAGAACCCATTAGCTCTATTAACAGCTCTCACCACCGCCTCCTGTTTGCCCATCTGTTTGTCTGTCACGCTGCTGACTGCTGGTGTGTGAGTCCTGTGTCCTCGTCACCAGGTACACACTTGTTGTTGACATGAATGGACCAATTAAATGATGTCTATGTATGGAGAGGGGGGGTCCCCAGGACACCTCTGTGCAGCCCTGAGGATCTGGGGAGAGGACCACGAAGGAGGACCTCAGGGGTCACTTACTGCTCAGCCCACAGGCCTCAACTTCACAAGCTGGCACCCAAACACATTTTTTTTTTTTAATTGCCTTTGAGTAACAGGAGGTTTGACCAGTTTCCTCCCTGGCCAGCAGAGTGTTGGAGGCAGGGGTCAGAACCGTGCGTGAAAGATCCATTACACAAGGCTAAGTCAGAAACTAGAAGGAATTGCTGCTCTCTGGTAGCTTTGTAGCCGGAAGGGATGGTTATCTTTCCAGCAAAGGCTGAGGAAATCCTTTTCTGCCTTGGGGCGGGCTGGGGGATGGGATTAATCCCAGGTGAAGGTGGGAAGGAGATGAAGAAGTGAGTTAATCCCAGCGGGGGACGAGGGGTAGAGAATAAACTAAAGCCAGATCCAGGCCCTGGACACAGCCGCTGCCCCTCCCCCACCTCCCTTCCCAACTCCCTCTGGGGTTTCCTATTGTTACCAGAGACGACATCCTGTTTCCTTTACCTGCCTTACTGTCCCAGGCCCCTGGAGTCCCCTACTGTCTCAGGGAGCAGGGGTGGGACAGAGGTCTGGCCCCAGACCCAGAGTCCAAGGATCTCACAGCTGGAAGATCTCACAGCAATGGAAACTGACCTGGGAGGTATGGGGTGCAACTTACCCAAGGTCGCAGCATTGCAGATCTGGGTCGGCACTTGGGCGGGCCTCCACGGTTCTCTCGAGATTACATACTTGGAAGGTTCCCAGGGGGAACCTGACTTCCCCTCCCTTAGGCTCAGCGTGGTGGTCAGTTCCTCCTCTCCAAATGCCTCTCTCCAGCTGACTGTGGCCCACAGGACTCACACACATCCTAGGAATGTGTTTGGATCCACAGAGTTCTGGGGCTCAGTAGCACAGGCTCTAGGACAAGCAGGCCTGGGTTTGGATCCCATCACAGAACTTTTATTTATTTATTTATTCTGACAAGGAATGTTTATTGCCGAGCACTAGGGACAGAGCAGCAGACAAAATAGACATAAGTCCCTACTCTCATGGAGTTTACATTCTAGTGAGGGAGGCAGATAATCAGCAAGGTAAGGAAGGAAGATACATAGCCTGTCAGAAGGATTTGCTGAGGAGATAAATAAAGCAGAGGAGGGGATGGAGAGAAGGCAGCAGGAGATGGGGTGGAGGGAATGTACTGTTAAATAGGATGGATGGGTAACATCTGGGCGAAGACTTAAAGGAGGTGAGAGGTGGAGCCACATGTGGATACCTGGAGAAAGAGCTTTGTAGGCAGGAGCAATAGTACGTGCAAAGGCCCTGAGGCGGAAATATGTCTGGCACAGTTAAGAGCAGCAGGAGGCCAGTGGGGCAGGCAGGGTGAGAGAGGAAAGGACTAGAAGTTGAATCAGGAAGCCAGGGGGAGGTCAGACACCGAGGGCCTTACAGGTCACAATTAAAGCCTTTGGCTCTAACTCTGAATGAAAAGGGAGCCAAAAGGACAGGATCTGACTCATGTTTTAGAAAGATCATTCTGGTCACTGTGTGGAAAAGGGAAACAGGAACACCAATTGGGAGGCTACTACAACAATTCAGGTGAAAGATGACAAATGCTCAGTCGAGGGTAGTCAGGGCAGCACTCGTGAGAAGTGGGGAGATTCTGAATATTTTGAAAGCAGAGCCACCAGGATTTACAAATGTGGGTAGTGAACTGTGATAAGAAGAGAGAGGTCAAGGATAAATTCCAGGATTTGGGCCAGAAGTAACTAGAAAGAGGCAGTTGCCACTTACAGATAAGGGGAAAGCCTGAGGGAGGGGCAGGTCTGAGGGGGAGACTCGGCCATTTATTTGCTGTAATTCTGGGTAAGTTGCTTAACCCCTCTAAACCTCAGTTTCCTTATCTGTACAAAGGTCATAATAATCATTCCCCTGCAGAGTGATGGTGAGAATTGAGTGAGATCATGAACTCACAGGCGTGACGCACATACATACTCAATACACGTTCCACCCACAGCCCAGGGATGACCATCACAGCTCCTCAGGAAGGGACAGGAGGGAAAGGAAGACCAAACCTACATATCTGTACTTTGGCTCCTCTCCCGGCCCAGCTTCCTCCAGGAAGAAGGGGGACAGAACTTTTCGACAAAATTGGAAGTTTTCTTTCTTCAAGGCCTTTGATGGTTTAGGAGATGGTGATGATGCTAATGGGGGATGGTGGTGGGTTGATGATAAACGATCATATTCCCATGTCCTTATTCTTATAAAACCCTTTCATGGCCATTATCTCATGTGAGTCCATCAAGGCAGAAATTATACCCATTTTATGAAGTAGAAGAATGAGGGGGTTGTTAAGACTCTGTGCTTCCAATGCACGGGGTGCGGGTTTGATCCCTGGTCAGGGAACTTGGATCCCACATGCTGGGCGGCCAAAAACAAAAAAAAGAGGTATTTTTTAAAATTTATTTATTTTTTAAAATTTTTTTATTATATTGGAGTATAGTTGATAAACAATGTTGTGTTAGTTTCAGGTGTACAGCAAAGTGGTTCATTTATACGTATACATGTACCCACTCTTTTTCAAATTCTTTTCCCATTTAGGTTATTACAGAATATTGAGCAGAGTTCCCTGTGCTATACAGTAGGTCCTTGCTGGTTATCTATTTTATTTTGTTTTATTTTAAAATTTGATTGATTAAAAAAAAATTTGATTGATTGATTGATTGATGTACTGTGTGGCACGTGGGATCTTTGTTCCCCGACCAGGGATCGAACCCATGCCCCCTGTATTGGAAACGCAGGGTCTTAACCACTGGACTGCCAGGGAAGTCCCTGGTTATCTATTTTAAATATAGCAGTGTGTACATGTCAGAATGAGGTATTTAAAAACAAAATGAAACAAACCTGGGCCATCTCTCCCTCACTATCTCATGGAACTCCATTTAATCTTTGGGAGAAAACATGGGTGAAGAGGGTCCTGACGTGGGTATCTCTCTTCCCGTCCCTGAGTGGGAGTGCTGCCCAGCTGTGTCCAGCTATGATATGGACTGTGACCTCACGCCTCTATTCCAGGAAAGGACCCACAATGCCTGCCCCGGTCCATTCTCCATCTCGGCCACTCTGAGCATGCCCGGTGTGTGGGTTGCAACCTTACTGCTTCTGAGGTTTGGGTCAGTGGGTCTCATACATTGTCCCATTCCAGTCACTCCTCCCAATTACTGAGGTAACAGACGAGGGGAATGGAACCCAGAAGAATCAACGTGCCTCAGATCACACCATTAGAAAGTGCAGTGCAGACTCTGAGGTCTGCACCCAGCAGGAGGAATTCCTGCATCACTTCTTCCAGCCCAGCTGCCCCCATCCCTCCACATACCAGGTGCCAGAACACAGCTGTCTCTTCCTTGCTCCCCCAACCCAGGCAAGCTGTCCTGGGTGGGGCCGAGCTGGGTGGGGCCGCCCTGGGTAGTGTCCAGTGAGACTGTAGCTCCTGCAGGCAAATTCAGCTGGACACTGATGCTAAGCGGCAGTCCCTACTGGTGAGAGCTGGGCTGCTGCCCATTGGTGGGCGGTGGGGCACTGGGAGGGTAGGAAGTGTCTGGTTTGGGTGGATCAAGGTCCCTGAAAAGAAAACTTAGAATTGCCCAGGGAAGAACTCCTGTTGGATTGAGGGAGAGGGGTTAGGGAATGTCAGGTGATTGAGAGTGCACAGGAGGAGGGGGTGACTAGAGGAAGGGAGGGTTTAAGGGACAGTAAGAGCCCCTGGAGGGGGCTGGGAATGGAGAGCTGTAGGTCCCAGCCCCGAATTTACTCTTGCCTTGGCTGTTTGTCTCCATCTGTGCTATGGTGAGTGTCCTCCTGACCCAGCCACCCTTCCCAAAGAAAGGGCATCTGGAGGGCTTCCCTGGTGGCGCAGTGGTTGAGAGTCCGCCTGCCGATGCAGGGGACGCGGGTTCGTGCCCCGGTCTGGGAAGGTCCCACATGCCGCGGAGCGGCTGGGCCCGTGAGCCATGGCCGCTGAGCCTGCGCGTCCGGAGCCTGTGCTCCACAACGGGAGAGGCCAAAAAAGTGAGAGGCCCGCGTACCGAAAAAAAAAAAAAAAAAAAAAGAAAGGGCATCTGGAAAGCAAAAATGACCCGTGAATTGAGATCTGGGGGCGGGAGGGTATAAACTGAAGCGGGGGTTAAATCCTGCCCACCTCATGTCTTTGCCAGGTGAGGAGGGAGCAGGAAAGGCAAGCCTAGAGTCTAGATCGCCTTGGAAGTCATTGGCCATGCCCACTCTGCTGCTCCCGCTGCTGCTGCGGACGCTGCTGGCCCGCCTGCTGCTGCCTGCTGCCCGCCTTGCCCGCCGGCACTTCCTGCCCCTGCTGCGCCGGCTGGCCCACCGCCTGGGCTCTCAGGATATGCGAGAGGCTTTGCTGGGCTGTCTGTTGTTTGTCCTCAGCCAGAGACACCCGCCGGAAGCTGGGGAGGCCTCCAGAGTGGCCCGCTTGGAGAGGAGGGACAGGCTAGCCTCCCAAAAATGAGGCCATGAATCCTGGTAGCAGCTGTATCCACTGAAACGCTTTCTTTTGGAGTAAGACAGTCCTGGCCCCATCACTGACTGCAACCTGCCCAGTGGGCAGAAGACATGGTGGGGGACTGAGCATGAGAGGGGTCCGGCCAGGACATGCCTCCCCACTCCCCCGACTCCCAGCAGAGATGATTGGAAGGATGCTCTGCATTTAGCAGAAAACCCATCATTATCCCTCCCTCCCTGCCCCTGCATTCTTCCCAAGAACTTTTCTTTTCTTTTTTTTTTGGCCGCACAGCATGTGGGATCTTGGTTTCGGACGAGGGATCGAATCTGCACCCCCTGCATTGGAAGTGCAGGGCCTTAAACCACTGACCGCCAGGGAAGTCCCATCTTTTTAATTTTTTTTCCGAGAACGTTTCTAATTACCTCTGGCCTGTGAGGGGAAAGGAACTGACTCTCCTCCCTCCACCACCCCCACCCGCAGGCAAATGGGGACATGAGGTCCAATGAGGGACAATGCTTAACCTAGCTAATCCAGACTGTCTGTCTTTGACTCGTGATTTACCAAGTAGTAAGACCTTGGTTCCCTAGGGAGTCAGTCCTGCCTCCAAAGCCCAGCATACAGCAGGTGCTCAATAAATATTTGTTGCTTTGAATGCCTGGGACGTCTTTGACAGTCTTTGTCACACTCCTGCACTGCATGACAGTCGAACCTGTCCAGAGGGTGGGATGGGGAAACAATTCAAGGCTTCCTTTTGCTACCTATTCCATTGTCCCTCTCGGTTTGTACGTCCTCTTGCCTAATTTGAGTATATTACACTGTAAACCAGCAGTCTTGGGTCTGCCTGGCCAGCTCAGGGTAAGGAGGTAAACGTCCTCCAGCAAGCGTGGACACTCTTCGCAGCTAGTGGTGTGGGAAGAGGGAGATTTGCTTGCTGAGGGACCCTGTGGGCAGCCGCCCAGAGGAGCAGTGTAGAAATGCATACCCCTGAGGGGTCCTCTGCTCAGGATGGGATCTAAAGGGTAGGGGGTGGGTGGGGTGTGATCTGAGGAATTCACCTATTTCCCCTCCCCAGTGGGAGGCCCCTCGGGGATCAAATAAGAGCTGTCAGAGGTATTTGCATGCCAGCCTCCGGATAATTTGCTTACGGTTCCCATGCAATACTCCTCCCTCCCACCCTCCTCCAGCGAGTCCTGGGCTCTCGGTTCAAAGCGGGAAAGTGGAGGAGTACAGGCTCCTTTCAGGACCCTCACTCCGTTAGCATACCTCTCAGAAGGTTGGCCTGGGGGAAGAACCGAGACCAGAGCTGTGGGCCCCCAAGCCGGCCCAGCGGGCTTTTCCGCCAGACCCCCGCCTCCCCACACCCCGGCACCATCTGCTTCCTCCCGGAGTCCCGAAAAGCCAGTGCACGTGCTCGACCCCTTCGGGAAGGTGACCCGGGGGAGGGGCGGGGTGAAGGGGATTCGAACCCCTGGTCCCCTCCAGGGTCACGGGCGCCTTTATTTATTTATTTCGCCCGCTCCGGGCCTCCCCTCCCGCCGGCCTTCCGGAGCGCTCCTCATTCCCGAGCGGCGCCGGCGGGACCGAGCCAGCCGCGGGGCGCGGGGCTGGCGCCGGGATCGCCCGTTGCAGCCCCTTTGCCGCCCGGCGGTATAGGCCGGTCAGACCCGGCGCGGACTGCGGTTTCCGGCCACGACGACGGCCCCAGTCCCGAAGTGAGGAGGCCAAACTGGGCCCTGTGAATTTCCGTCCGCACTCCCGGACTCCGGATGAGCCCTCAGAAGTCCCTGCAGGTGAGCTGGGAGCAGAGGCGGGGCCGCGGCGAGGGGGCGGGTCTGCGCGTGTGGGGCGGGGGAAATCAACGGAGTCTGCATCTGCGGTTTTTGGCGGAGGAGATCATTTTCCCAGACTTTGGAGGCCGTGGTGAGATGACTACCCTACCCTAACCACATTCAGTTGTCTCCAAGGTCGGAGACTTTCCCAGAGCAGAGGATAGGGGCAGAGGTCTGAGAAATGAAGCTGGAAAACCAAGCCCAGTCTTCCTGAACCCTGATCCCCGTACACACCCACAAGAAAGGTGAGGGACTTGAGGGTGTCCGACCCTGAGAGGGCTGGTTTCTGGCTTTAGTTTAGTTGATGTTTTGTTCATCATGGATTTTTTTCTTTTTTTTTTTTTGCATTAACTTTGATTTAAAAAAAATATTGCCTTTAAACATTATTTATCTGGATTCTGGAATATTTGGGCGCCCCCTTAAATATTGCAACTCAGGCAAGTTGCCTCTCTGGCCTCTCCCTAGTCCCAGCCTGCCAGAGGGCCACAGATATAGAGTCGCAAACAAGACTAAGAACATAACTGTCACGAGACGAGTTGGTGACAAACTGCGGAGCCAAGCAAATCCACTTCCAGCAAACACAGATGGAGGCAGGGCTGGGGAAGGATAGGACTGGTTGTGTGAGGTGTTGAGGAAGGCTTGGGGCCTGGAAGGGGGAGGAGGGAATCAGGGCAAGCCACAGGCTCAAATAGGTGGGGGATCTGGTGGGGGTGGGATGCAGCTGGATCAGCCCTTCACACCCTACCCCTGTACCCGGGACCTGAGGGAACCAAATGATTGGGCAGAGGGTGACAAGGACTGGCTGGGCCTGGAGGGCACAGGCCACTGTGAGTCGGGCTCCGAGGCTGTCCAGCAGAGGGCCCTGGCACCCAGCAACCATCTCTGCGTAGGGAGGTGGCTCTGGAGGGGTGTGGGTGCTGGCTGGGGGCCCAGGCGGGGAGAGTGCCAGACAGGCTTCTGTCCAGCAATAACAGCCCTGGCTGTTGCCATCTAGTGAGCAGGCTGAGCTTCAGCGGGGGTGGGGAGGGAAACCAGCCTTCCGCTGTCTGGCCTGTGACCCTCACCACTTCCCTCCAGTTTCTTTCCACTTCCAGCCCCCTTTGCACACAGCTGCAGCCAATGGCCACCAGCCTGGGGGATCCATTTGACCACGAAGGCCTGCCACCTCCACAGACTTAGAGACGGGAAGTGAGGATGGGGAGAGAGACAGGGGCCGAGCAAAAAGGGAGAAGAGGGCCAGGAGAGGAAGAGAGAGGCTGGACAAACACAGGGTAGGAATGGGGCGAGGGAGACCCAGACATGAAGCTGCCCTCAAGGCATGGGGCAGTGCCTAGAAAAATACCACTCATACCCCTCTTCCTGCCCTCTGTTTGGTTAAGACCAGGAGATGTTGGTATGTCATGTCTCTGTGGGGCCCTGAGCCAGTAGGCTGGGAACAGCCCTTCTGAGTATCTTGGGGTGCATCCACTGATCCATCCTAAGTAGAAAAACTACCCTTCTCCTCAGAGCCCAGTCTGTTCTCTGCGGAGAAGGCGTGACTCTGCCTTATCCCTACGATGTTAGTACTGCTAATTGTTAATTAGTGTCTATGGCTTCTCCAGGGTACAGGCCTCTTGGGTAACTGGGGCAAGGGTGTGGGGGGTGGATTGGATTTTCTGTCCTTAGCATCTCTCTAGCCTTTGGATTGTCCTCCTATAGTGAGGGCTGCTGTAGGGGCAGTGATCCCCCCATCCCCCAGATTTACTGACCAACGAAAAAGGAGGGAATCCTTCCCCCTCCCTTGGAGGTACAAGAAGGACTGATCATTCCTCAGCATGCCCACCCCCTTCCTCCTCAGCCAGGGAGGATGTGGGGCTCTGCAAGGCTTCCACCTCTGAGTATCAGGACCATAGGATTCACTCAGGCTATAAGGCTGTTACGGGCTTTTTCTCTTCCCGTTGCCAGCTGTGCCTCAGCTTTTCCAATGTTCTGGATTTAGAAACGGTGAATCATGAGAGGGCTACAGGGCTGTGGCTCCCCCCACCACGCCACACACATCCCTCTCTAAGTCAAAGTTGTCGGTGAGCGGATCTGTGTGGGAAAACCCAGGTCACACATCATGCTGATTCCGTCGGAGGGATCCCCGGCGTGGGGTCTGGGGAGAGGAAAGGATAGTCTGACTCGAAGAAAGTGGCACTGAAAAGGGAAGGAAAAAGGTGCAGTGTGAAAGAGATGGTGTGGGAGGGGGCTTGGGGAGCCATAACAGAACGTCTGAGATGGTGTAGGGGCGACGCGGGGGCCGTCCGGATCTGTCTGAGCGGGTTTGTCCCTGGGAGAGTCTCGAGACAGCTGTGTAGGAGTTCGTGTAACCCCAGCGCGGAGACCGGGGGTACCCAGTGTGCTGCTATACCCTCCAGCCCCACGTGCTCCGTGATAGGGCAGGGTTTGGCGTGGCAGCGCCCCCAGAGGTCCTATCTACAGAAATAGTGCAAGGTGTAGGCCAGGCGGCGGAGGATCTCGGGTCGGGGGGTCCCTCTGAGCCGGCAGCCGGCGTGCGGGGGGCGGGGGCGGGGGCGGGGCCTCGGCGGACGCCGGAGAGCGGACGCGGGCCGGGGCGCGCCGGGGCGGGGCGAACGGAGGGCGGGTTTGAATGTGCTCAGGCGGGCGCGGGAAGTGGCAGGGAAGGCGCGCAAACCTCCACGCGGGAGGACTCCTTCCCAGCAGGTGCTACCCGGGGACTTGGGGCCGGGGAACCGGGGGCCGGGGGTCGCCGGGGTGGAAGGCGCCGCTTGCCGCCTGCCACGAGAGCAGGGAGGCCGGGCCTGGCAGCTGCGCGGCCGGGGGAGGGGACGCGGGGTGGGCCCCACCTGAGCCCCACCCCGCCCCCGCTCTGAGCGTGCGGAGCCGCGCAGCACGTGGCGCGCCGAGGCCCGGGCGCAGGGGCACCTTGCGGGAACCCGGACCCGAGCGGGCGTGGACGACCTGGCTCCCGGGCCTGAAACCCGTTGTCGCGGAGCTGACCTCTGCAAGGGGCGGGCGAGTTGAAGGTTAATCTCGATCAATTCTTGTCGTTGGTACTGGGGAGGGGCCGCGCCGTTAATTAACTGCGCTGGGTGCAGGGAATGGGGGTGGAGGAGCTGTCTCTTTAACCCCCGCCTTCTATTGGCCGAACTCGTGTACCTGGCCTCCCTTCCTGGGCGCGTCCTCATTTATTCCCGGAGAGAGGACCCTTGCTTCATTCAGAGAACAAAGACATACCCCAGATTTTCTTCCCAGCGGAGTGCTGTGGTGGAGGAGGGCTGATCCTACCCCTGCCCCTCACCTCTCTTGGGGCCCTCCCTTTGCCCATTCCTCTCGATCACCTCCAGACCTTCCTGCCTTGTCCTCCTGCCAGTGTGAGCTCTCCTTGCCAGAAAGTGTGTGTAATGGGGTGGGGGAGTGCCTTACAGCTGACACTTAGTTCAGGCTGGAGGTGACCTCGACCCCACCTTATTTTTAATCCCTTACTTGGAGTAGAGTTACCCTGTCTCCCAGTATAGGAGGCTGGCTGGGAAACAGCCTTTATACCTCCCTCCCCACCCAGGAAGGAGGCTAGAGTAAGCTGCACATTGAGTTTGAATTCCAGCTCACCCATTCACTAGCTCTGTTACCTTTGGCAAATGACTCAACCTCTATGAACTTCAGCTGTCCTCGTCTGTTCTAGTAGAGACAGTTTTGTACTAGCTTATGGTGGTTGCGAGGGCAGGCAAGGGCAGGAGAAGGTATCTCCAGGTAGTGGCTGGCCCCATGTGGGATCCAAGGAAGTGGTGAATTTGATGCTACCACAGGGGTGTCTCTAGAAGCTGCGGTGCATGAGAGGTGTTTGGGGCCTGGGGTTGGGGAGGTGCTCAGTTTGGTGGCTGCTGTCAAGGCCTCATCTCGGCAGGCCAAGGCATGGCTGAGGAGCACCAGATGCTCTGAGCTGGTATCAAATCCCCGATTGCTGCCGGGCAAAGGCAGACAAAAACAAAATACCTGGGCTGGTCTGCTGAACGTCAGGATGTGGGCAGGGGGAGCGGGCTGCCCCTGGAGTTGACTTGTGCCCAGGACTGGGGTGAGGACAGTTGAGAACAGAGAGCAGGGGTGTAGCAGAAAGAAATACTCCTCTGAGCCTAAGAGAGATTTTACTGAGGAAGGGGAGATACTCTATTCTCCGCACCCCCCCCAACTCCCGCCTGCGCCGTTGAAGCTGCACCTGCTCTTTACTGCCAGGAATCTTGCCTGTGGGGGGTGAGGATGGAGCACAGGTTAGGGTGAGGTGAGAAGCTGGGGATTCCCCTCACTTCCTCTGCCCACACCCCAGTGTAGAGCCCTCTCGTCCCCGTCCTTCTAGAAAATGTATAAACTGTCATTCACCACTGTCCCAAGTGCCTAGAACAGTGCCTGGCTGGCATGCAGAGGTCTTCGGTAAATATTTGTGGAAAGGAAGAGTGCCTCCATCTGGAGCTATGTGGGTCTGCCCCTCCCCTCCCTGTCCTATGGCCCAGATGTGGGCCAGGGGGCTGAGGAAGGCCTTGGAGAGGCTGGAGTTTACCCAGGGAGGGGTTGAGAGGAATTATTGGGAGGGGGGGTAGAAAGGCCCATCGCGGTCCTTTCTTGGGGTCCCCAGGGCTGTGGTCTCAGGCTGGGGCCTGGAGCACTGGCTGCACCTGTGAGTTGACCCACCCCCTCAGCTCCCCTGCTGAGACTGCTGGCTGTCTTATCTCCCAAGCTACTGGGCTGGGTTTTATCTCCCTGGTTGTGTTTGTGGGGAGGCTTCTCAGAATGGGGCTGCTCCCTCCCACAGTGAGGCCTGGGGGGTTCTCTCCTGATATGCCCTGTGCCGCCACGTTCATTCTAGACCCTTACTCTGGAGGAGCCCATGGACAAGGCCTGCTGCCTGAGCCTGAGCTAGGACCACCTCCCACAGACCGCCCGGGCCCCCTCTGCCCCCACCCTTCTGCTGGCAAGTCTGAGTGCTGGTCCTGGTGGGCAAGGAAGCCAGTCCTCACCCAGAACGGTAGAGCTGGCTCCAGAGCTAGGCCCACACGTTGGGGACACGCCAGCACACGCCTGCCTGGCTTTCTATGCCATCCGAGAGAAAGCTGTTTCCTCTCCTGGTGCCAGGGAGCCTCTCCCTGCCCGAGCAGGGAAGGGATACTGAGGGAGGAGGCTGGATGCCTGGGGACTAGGCAGCCTCTGCTCCCATCCCTCCAGTCTTCCCTCCAACTTTGTTCTCAGAAAGGGGAAGAGGACATGGAAGTGAGTCAGAGAGGAATCCGGGGGGGATGGGATGACCCTGTGGCCAGGACTGGGGGTCAGGGGAGAGGCTGGGTCCCCACACACATGCTGAAGTATGTTCCTGGAAGACTGGCCACGAACCAGGGAGCCTCTGGGCAGTGGCTGGAAAGGATGGTTAGGGTGCCACCAGCAGAGAGGCTGGAGTCTGGGGCGCCCCCAGGAGGGGACAGGCTCTCCAAATCCCACCCTAACCATGAGCCCAGGGGCTCCCTGGGAGTGCAGAGAGGTCAGACTTGCAGAGAGAGCTGGGGAGGGAGGCCTCGCTGGTTTGGCCTCGGTCATCACCCCTGAGGCTGCTGCTTCTGCGGATCTGTTTGTTTTGTGTCCTCCCTCCTCCCTCCTCCCTCCCCCTATCCTCTCGCTCTTATCTCCTTTCTGTTTCCCTCCTTCTGTCCCCACTTCATTGTCATCACTGTCCCTGACCCCTCCCGCTGTCTCCCCTGCGTTTAACTGTTTTTCTCTCCCTCTCAACCATACCTCCTCCTCCTTCCCTCCTGCGCTCCACCCTCCTGTTTCCCTGCTTACAAACTGCTTCAACTGCTGGATAAAAATAGCGGTGGCAGTGGCCAGGCCAGGCTGGGAGCCAGGTAGAGCCTGAGCAGGCAGGGGAGCCCAGCGGGCCAGGCCCAAGGGGTCAGAGGGAGCAGTCCTGAGAGGCAGGGCTGGGAGTGGGGCTTTCTGGACTCTCCAGCCTGCCCGTTCTGTCTGCCCTGCCCTCCTCACCCCCCAACCAAGCGTCTGAAGAGGCCTGTGGGGAAGCGGGGCCGAGACAGGACCTCACACTGCTTCTGCCCCCAGCAAGCACCAAGGGAGGAGGCCATCAGCCAGGCATAACCAAGAACGCCGTCACCATGACAACCAGTCACCAGCCTCAGGACAGGTACTGGGGGACCTGGGCTGTGAATCCAGGGGAGTGGAAAGGGGTGTCCAGGAGGCTGGGTGCCATATCCTTTGGAACCACTGACGGGCCTTCCAGCTATGAGGTAGCTATGAGTCGGGTCTGCATCAGGGGTGGGGGCCCTTCGTGCTGTGGCTGGGTGCTGATGGGGGTGTCTCCGGTGAGGCCCGGGGTGGTGGGCAGCAGCCCCTCCCTGGCCTGTCAGAGTTTCCAGTGTTCAGCAGCTTCCAGCTCCTGCCACCACCGTGGGGAGACATCTGGCAGCACCCCTCATTTCTGAGCTGGCCGGCCGGCGGGGCTGGCCTCTGCCTCACCCTGATCCTGACTCTGACCTCCCTTTCACTTCCCCACCTCCGGAGCCTAGGAGTTCCCTCCAGTTAGACCTGCATCCATGATCATGCATGTGTGTTTTGGGGGAAGAGGTTGTAGCTGGATGCAAGTTCTCCCAGGAGTCTAGGCCCCCAAAAAGTTGATGAAGCCGTGCCTGGGGTCCAAAACAGCCTTCCACCCGGGCCCCCCAATCCCATCACCGCTCCCCTGCCCATCCTGTCCCCCTGTGCCAAAGGCCATGGAACTAGGCCACTTCTAGCTGTGGGACCTTGGGCACTTAGCTTTATGTCTCTGAAACCATCTCCCACCTGTAAAAGAGATGTGAGGTTTACTTGGGTGGGAGGGAATTTAAGGACACATAGTAAGTACAGGCCCCAAGCTGTTTGGTTGGTTCCCTCCACGGTGTCTTTTGTTCCCAGGCTGCCTGCCGCCCTATCCCAGCACCCCCATCTGGTGGCAGCTCTCTGAACCCTTTCACCTTCTCCACTGGCCTTGTGGCACTCACCCAGCCCCACTCTGGCCCTCTGTCCTGTGGGACCTTGGCTGGGAATTCTCCCTTCCTCTGGGCCTCTCGATCAAGGCCTCACCTCTCTTCCTCAAGGTGGGGAATATATGAGGGAGATGGGGGGGGCTGAACTTGTCAGGGCTCAGACCTGCCCACTTGGGGTGCCTACCCAGGCCTCCAGCTGGTGCGGCCAGGCCCTGCGCTCTGGCTAGACCCGTCTGCTCGTTGCCTTGGGCTTGTCCCTGCCAGCTCTGTGAAGAAAGCGGGTGTGGGCTCTGGGGAAAGTATGGCAGACACATCTGGAGACCACAGTGGGAGGGCCCAGGGCTGTCTGGGGAAAGCTGTCCCGTCCCAGACAGGCCCTGAGGGGTAGGGCTTGGGGCAGTGACCTGGCCTAGGCTGGGTGGCACTTATTAACACTCTGGGGCCCAGATGATGTCCAGTGGCCTGGTCCCTCCTGGCCTCTCCTACGTGGTGCAAACTACAAAGCTGGTCCTGTCTAGGCCAGGAAAAAACAGCTCCCTCACTTCCCAGATGTCCCAAGGCTCCCTGCCTGCCTGCCCTCCTAGATCCAGAATGGTCTGGGAGTTTCCTGACCTCAGAATCCTCTTTGGAGAGCCACACAGCCCTGCCCTGACAGTATAATCACTTCCAGCCTGTCTGGCGGGGGTGGAAGGACTGTGTTGCTTTCCCACTCACCCTCCCACCCCTAGCCTTTAGCAGGATTTCCAAAACCACCTCCGGATGCGTGGGTCACACTGGTTCCCAAGCCTGCGTCCCCTGAGTCTTTGGGGCTGAGAATGGTCCTTTGGGCCATGCCCTTCGGTCCTATGTCCCTGGTCCCCTTCCCTCTCGGGACTCATCTGTGCCCTCTCCCCCATCCCAGGCCACCTCTCCCTCCACATACATACACAAATAGGAGGACGCACGCCCTGTGCCCTGGGACAGCTGGAGAGATAGAAGGGGAGGGGGCTGCCCCAGGTTTGATTTGGGAAGGAGGGTGGGATGGTGAGTCACCTGGCCTCACTTTCCTCTCCCATCCCCAGGTACAAAGCCGTCTGGCTTATCTTCTTCATGCTGGGTCTGGGGACGCTGCTGCCCTGGAATTTTTTCATGACAGCCACTGCGGTGAGATATGGGGGATGGGCTCCCAGGGGCATGTCCACTGGGCACGTAGGGCCTGGATCTGTGCTGTGGGCACGGGGAGAGAGGTTCCAACACTCTCTGTGCAACCCTCACAGTATTTCACAAACCGCCTGGACATGTCCCAGAATGCGTCCTTGGTCCCTGCTGAACCGAGCAAGGACATCCAGGCTTCGGCCGGCCCCTCAGCACCCTTGCCAGAGCGGAACTATCTCAGCGCCATCTTCAACAACGTCATGACCTTATGTGCCATGCTGCCCCTACTGCTGTTCACCTGCCTCAACTCCTTCCTGCACCAGAGGTGAGTGCCCGGGCCCCCACCCTGACCGCTCACTGCCTCGTGCCCTCCCTAGGCTGAGCCCCTGGCTTTACCACCCGTCTCTGCCGTCGTGGCCTCTCTGGCAGGATCCCCCAGTCTGTGCGGATCCTGGGCAGCCTGGTGGCCATCCTGTTGGTGTTCCTGATCACTGCCATTCTGGTGAAGGTGCCCCTGGATGCTCTGCCCTTCTTTGTCGTCACCATGATGAAGATCATGCTCATTAATTGTAAGCCGGGCTGGGTGGGGACCTGGGGCAGAGATCTTCCCACATACCTGCCCCTTTCTTTCACACCCACAGTTGGCCAGAGAGAAATCTCTTCCTCCCTCTGGGTGGTCAGGATTCAGAAGCCTGAGTGGGCATGGACCAGGTGTGGGAGAGGAGGCCCTGGGAGTGGGGAGAGAAGGGCCGCTCAGCGTCAAGACTTACTGAGAGTAAAGCAGGAATTACAGGGGCCCCGGCCACCCACCCGGCTCCTCCCTCCCCTGCTGATGCCCACCCTGTTCCCCAGCGTTCGGTGCCATCCTGCAAGGCAGCCTGTTTGGCCTGGCCGGCCTCCTGCCCGCCAGCTACACAGCCCCCATCATGAGTGGTCAGGGCCTGGCAGGCTTCTTTGCCTCTGTGGCCATGATCTGCGCCATCGCCAGTAAGTCTTGCCGTCTGTCTGCCTGTCGCCCTGGTTGTTGTTGTGGGGAGAAGGGGAGGGGGCCTGTCTCTGATCGCTGACACCCTCCACCCCAGGTGGCTCGGAGCTGTCGGAAAGTGCCTTTGGCTATTTTATCACAGCCTGTGGGGTTATCATTTTGACGATCGCCTGTTATCTGGGCCTGCCGAGGCTGGTGAGCTCTTGGAGAACACCGGGTTTGGGGTCTAGGGCGGGTCCAGGACTCCGGATCAGGGGTGTTGTGGGTGTGAAACCTGGGGGAGGTGGAGATTCTGGAGATTCCGCTTCTGAATCCACCTTCCTGGTCTTCCCTCACTTGATAGGAATTCTACCGCTATTACCAGCAACTCAAGCTCGAAGGGCCCGGGGAGCAGGAGACCAAGCTGGACCTCATTAGCAAAGGTCTGAAGAGACTGAGGAAGCTGGGGTGGAGGACAGTCTGCCCAGCAGGGAGGCAGCATGAGCTGAGGGCAAGAATGAGCGTGCTGTAGTGATGCCAGAGGCGAGAGGGATCAGGGATGGGGTGAGGGGTCACAATAGTAAATAGGGGCTGGGATAGAGAAGCTGGGGGGAGATCCTGGGTGGCCTTGAATGCCTGAAGACATTGGGAAGCAATTTCAGATTCTTGGACAGGGCGTAACCTGACCTGAGGCTCCTGGGAGAGGTCAGGGGACTTGCACACTGGGAGTTCTAAGGCCGTCTGGGCTAAGTGTCAGGGCGCGGCTGTGCACTGGTTAAGGGAATGTCCACCCTCAGCTGACCCCAGCCCTTTTGGGGATTGTGTCATCTGTTGCTCTGTCCTTCCCACAACTTGAAGATCCTTCCACCACCTGTCACCCCCCAGGAGAGGAGTCAAAAGCAGGCCAAGAGGAGGCCAGAGTTTCAGCCCCCAACTCTCAGCCCGCCGACGAAAGCCACTCTGTCTGCGTCATCCTCAAAAATGTATGTGGGGCTTGGGCATCCTGCCTTCTACCCCTCACCCTCTTTCTCTCCTTTTGTTCCTTTCCCCACCCCACCCTCCCCCTTCCCAGCACTGCCCATCCTCTCCCTTTCTTTTTTTTTTTAATTTATTAATTATTTATTTATTTTGGCTGCTCCGGGTCTTAGTTGCGGCACATGGGATCTTTGTTGCATCACGCAGGCTTCTTAGTTGCATCATGCGTGGGGGATCTAGTTCCCCGACCAGGGATGGAACCCGGGCCCCCTGCATTGGGAGCGCGGAGTCTTACACACTGGACCACCTGGGAAGACCCCATCCCCTCCGTTTCTGACTGGAGACTGGCCACTTTCCTGGATTCTCGTGTGTGTGTGTGTGTGTGTGTGTGTGTGTGTGTGTGTGTGTGTGTGTGTGTAATCTTGGTTCTTTAATGATGCACAACCGCCATGAAGACACAGACCTGAGTCCCTTTCCTCCAGATCTTAGTCCCGGCTCTCTCCGTCTGCTTCGTCTTCACCATCACTATTGGGATGTTTCCTGCCGTGGCTGCCGAGGTCAAGTCCAGCATTGCGGGCACCAGCGCCTGGAGTGAGGACCCTATGGGTTCCCAGGATGGGGAAGGACAGGGGCTCCAGCAGGGCTAGGACTCCAGGGGAGGGGAGCTTGGACTGCTGTCTCCCCAGCCAGACTCTCCTGGTCCATTTGCCCTTCCCTGGGCTGGAAGCATCTTCTCCATTTTATAGCTGGGAAAACTGAGTCCCAGTGAGGGTCAGGGTTGTAGATTCTGCCTCTCTTGGACCTGCTAACCGTTCCCTAATCTACTCTTTCTCTTCCAGGAGGCTACTTCATTCCTGTGTCCTGTTTCCTGACTTTCAATATCTTTGACTGGCTGGGCCGGAGCCTCACAGCCTTCACCATGTGGGTAAGTGAAGGAAGGGGGCACCAAGACCCTGTGAGAGGGGAGAGTCCAGCCTGAGACCCAGAGAGGGAACCAAGAAAGTATGGTGAAAAGGCCACCATGCTTTTTTAAAAACCAAGACACAATCTACGTATAGTAAGGCGTACAAGTTGTAGGTGTACAGTTTAATGACTGTATATACACACACAAGTAAACATACACACCCCCCTGATAAGCACCACCCAGGTCAAGATATAGAACATGGCCAGCACTCTAGAAGGCTCTATCATGCCCCCTCCCAGGCAGTACCCCTGAAGGGTAACTAGGTTTTGAGATTTCAATTCAGATCCTGAGGGACCCCAAATGGAGCCCTGGGGGCCTTGGTTGGGGGCCTGGGTGTGCCCTGGGGGCTGGCGCAGCCTGTCTGAGACACTGCCTGGTCTCCGCAGCCTGGGAAGGACAGCCGCTGGCTGCCGATCCTGGTGCTGGCCCGGCTGGCCTTCGTGCCTCTGCTGCTGCTGTGTAACGTCCATCCCCGCCACAACCTGGCCGTGGTCTTTGAGCACGATGCCTGGTTCATCTTCTTCATGGCTGCCTTCGCCTTCTCCAACGGCTATCTCGCCAGTCTCTGCATGTGCTTTGGGCCCAAGTGAGTGGGGAGTGTGGTGGTCTCAGGAGGGGGCTAGTGCTCCAATGGGGGACACTCAGTAGAGGGAGAGAGGGCAAAAGAAGATTCCTGATCCTGGAGCTCAGGGTTTCCAGGCTGAGAGAGGAGCCCACTGGCCCTAGGGTCCCAGGCAGTGGTGGGTATGAGAGGGGTCGGGTGAGGGAGGGCCTCCCAGGGAAAGGTAGAGACAGCCCCAGTACACATCCCCCCAAGAGGGGAAGTACGACAGGTGGGTAAGCAGAATTAGATGCTCTGGGTGGAGCTGGGGTAGGGGCCATCCTAAGGTAGCCTCACCCTCCCTCCTTTAGGAAAGTGAAGCCAGCCGAGGCAGAGACAGCTGGAGCCATCATGGCCTTCTTTTTGTCTCTGGGCCTGGCGCTGGGGGCTGTCTTCTCCTTCCTGTTCCGGGCAATCGTGTGACCGAGGATGGACGGAAGGATGGCACCGGCCACCTGCTCCTGCCTTCCTTCTCCTTCAGGGATGGGCAGGGGTCCTCTGGAGGTTTTCTTTACTAGCCGACTTCTGCTGTCTCACGGCCTGTGCTGGGCCCAGCATCCGGGCCTGGAGGAGAGAGCCTCTGAGGATGGACGGTGGGGACACTGTGGGCCTGAGAGTCAGAGTTGAGGGAGGGGACACAGCCTCTGTGTCTGCTCATGTGCTCCCCGCACCCGCCCCCTGCACTTAGCTCTGATCGATCCCTGCCTGGCAGAGCGGCAGAGGCTCCTAGTCTCAGAGAGTGTATGTCATGTGTCTACCTGTTTGCCTGTACCAGGGGTGGCTAGGGGTCAGGACTGCTTGTTCTGAAGTCTTATCTGATACTTCTGCCCCCTTCTCCCCATGTGCCTCTTCCCTCCACCTCCCCATGTTCTTGCCCATCATGAACCCTGTACAGTCACCATTTTACTGACTTTTTTTTACACTCAAACCAGGTGCCTTCAAAGGCTCTCTGATTAAATAAACTCTTTTTTTTTTTTTTCCCCCTCTCCATGGCTCCCTGTGTGCTCCAGCCATGGCTTCATGCCCTGGAGAGGCTGGAGGGATGGCAGCCTGAGTCTGGGGGGATGAGTCTGACCCGGATGGGCCTTGGCCAGCACTGGGCTGGGGTCCAAGTCAGGGGGTGAGGGTGGGTGTTGGTCCTCTTAGTCTCAGAATGACTACAGTACCTCCTGCTGGGGCCGCAGAGGAGGGACAGGCCTGGAGCCAGGACACCCAGACTATTGGCCGAGACGGAGAAAGGCCATTTTCCTTTGCCGGTTCATCCCTTGTTTCATAGGCCTGGGGGTGGAGACAGTGCCCCATCTTCCTTTTGTCTTCACGGTCATCCCCTCCACTCTGTCCTCACCCCGCAGCCCGGGGACTGAGTTCTCTACAAATGACCAGCTCCACCACCCTGTCCCCGCAAGCTCCTGGCTGCACTCCCACCTTCCCAGCAGGAAGAGGCTGCAGCCCAAAGGTTCTGCCCTGCCTGGCACTCGGCCCTGACACCGAAGTCAAGGCAGACTTCTTGGCGAACAAGGGGCCTGTGTGTCCTCAGGGAAGCTGGGCCCCCTTTCTCTTCCCAAACTTTGGCCAAGGGAGGTGTGCGGTGGCTCGGGACCATGAGAGGCGTCGGTGGAGGGGGCCATACTGCTGGGTCCCCCTTCTCAAAAAGGACTCTTGCGGATAGGAAGTGAAACCAGAGCTCTGGCCTCTGAGCTGCCACTGCCCCCACCCCCCACACCCTTGGCACTGCTGTCGGGGCTTTATTTCTGACAGTTTAATTGAAGGCTTCAGGCTTCATTAAGGGCTGTTAGCACATTTTTTTTTTTTTTTTTTTTGGGGTACGGGGGCCTCCCCCTTTTGGGCCCTCCCCCTTTGGGGGGCACAGGCCCCGGACGCACAGGCCGAGCGGCCATGGCTCACGGGCCCAGCCGCTCCACTGCATGTGGGATCTTCCCAGACAGGGGCACAAACCCGTGTCCCCTGCATCGGCAGGTGGACGCTCAACCACTGTGCCACCAGGGAAGCCCTGTTAGCACATTTTTAAGGGCTTTTGATGAGCTCTGAAGTCCTAACGGGGGAGTTAAATATATCATCATAGGGGGAACTGGAGTCCACAGAAATACCCCAGGGTACACGCCAAACCAGGGTACAGAATCTGAGGTTGGTGGGAAACAAGGTGTTCTTTCCTATCAGTTTCAAAAGCAGAGGGTGCCCTGAGTGTTCTCTCGTCCCTGCGGTGCCCTTTGGCCACGAGGCGGAGAGAAAACTGCACCCTTGCTCTGCTCCCTCTCACTCCATCTCAACTTCCAAGAGTCTTACTGGGTTCCTTCCTCAGCACCACAGCCCCTCAGGGACCCTGTGCTTCTTCCCTGGGTCGCTTCTTGCCTCCTGCCTGGCCTTTCAGGACTCCTGCCAGGTCTCCTGCAGCCCATCCCACACACGACAGCAGAATAAGCTGAAAACACATTCAGTCACAGGCGGGCTTCTCCCTGGGGCACGCCAAACATTTCCTGATTACCACCACCAGCGACAGCCAGTTTCTACCTTTCCTTCTCCCTCTGCACCTCAGAACTTTTGTAACTGGGACTATGCTCTTAACTCCAGTTACCAGACTGTCATGTTTTTCAGGTTTGGGTCTACATTCTCTGTTTTCACTCTTTAAGCTCCCAGAGGTACTCGAAGATGTTTGCTTCCTTGCATCTGCTTGTCCAGCCTCACAGTCTTCACAGGCCAGATTCCAGCTGTGTGGTAGCACTCATTTCAATGCCTGTTCCCACGAGATAGAGATGGGTGTTAAGTAGGTTTCTCACAACTCCAGCAATGGCTTGAAGGACAAATTTAGATTACAGTCGCATCTTTCTGAACTGGAATTGATGAAGAAAGTGACTAGACTCTTCCAATTTTTTTTCTAATGCAAATGCCAAAAAATATGAGTCTCACTCGCGTCACTCACGCCCTCAGTGTCCTCACCTGAGAATGGGGAGCTCTTGGGGGTTAGGAAAAGTGGCTCCTGCCAGGGCTTCCCTGGTGGCGCAGTGGTTGAGAGTCCGCCTGCCGATGCAGGGGTCACGGGTTCGTGCCCCGGTCCGGGAAGATCCCACATGCCGCGGAGCGGCTGGGGCCGTGAGCCATGGCCGCTGAGCCTGCGCGTCCGGAGCCTGTGCTCTGCAACAGGAGAGGCCACAACAGTGAGAGGCCCGCGTACCGCGCAAAAAAAAAAAAAAGCTCCTGCCGACCCAACTGCAGTGATAGCCCCCGGCCACAGGTGGGCGCTCTGCAGACAACACCGCCTGTGGGAAGCAGGCCGCTCTGGGGCCTCACCACTTTTCCTCTTAGCACATTGCTTCCTGTAAGGTGGGCAAGGGCTAAACTTGTGCTGGTCGTCACCTTCCTCCCGTGCGACATTTCTGCCCCAAGCGGTGGTCTGTGTATTAGGCGGCTGTATTCCCTGGAGTGGCTGCCACTGCAACACAAATTTCCCTCGTTTAATCTTATGTGGTGAATTGTTGCAGCTTCAAACTTTTGAAAAGCTAAGAGCCCCAGTAAAATTACCAGTCGTCCTTAAAAATAGAAGTGAAGCGTCGGGTATGACGGATGAATTGCAATATACCTGTGTTTGTATTCTTTGGGGTGAACATGGAAAGAGTATGGTGGCAGCAGGTGCTTGACAGGAAACCCCCAGTTATTGGGAAAATTATCCTCAGGGTGTTAAACTCTGATAGGGATTCAAAATGGATGTGAGCAGAGAAGTGCAGAGTCACCTTAAAGAGATAGCCCGGCTGTGGCCGGCAGGCCCCGCCTGAAACCCAAGTCCTGACACTGGAAGAGTGGCAGTCGGAGGGAGAGGGGCCAGGCTGGTTCTTGGGGCAGGTCGGCAGTGAGTGTGGAGATGGGCAAAGCCGGCGTTCCCCCTGCTCCGCCCCTCAACGCATCAGGGGCCTTTGTCGCAGCTTGGCTTCTCCAGCTCATCTCCGCCCGACCTGGCTTCCTGCACGGGTGCCCTCTGGGAGAGCATGTGCTCACTAGAGCCCCTCACAGCTTCGGCGGTCCTGGTGCTACCTGCCAGTCAGCCCCTGGCGTTCTGGCTCCAGACAGCCGGGCAAGTGCTAAATGAGCCAGCGGGACCCCACAAAGCAGGGGCTTCTGCTCATGACAGCTACCCCCTCCCATGCCTTCCTGCGGGTTGGGTGATGGTTCAGATTCAGAGCCTAGGATTCCATTTTGGGCCTGCCAAGTACCAGTTGTGTCACCTTGCACGAGCCACCTATATCCTCTGTGGCCCAGCTCCCTTGTTCTTTAAACGGGGTAACATGTACGGCTTTCTAAGGAAATTAAGGGGGTCTGCGGCAGAGCCTGGGTGCAGGAGATGAGCACCCTAGAGACACGTGGTGCCAAGAGTCATTAGGATGACCTCAGCCTGGTGGGCTCGCTGCTCCCCATGCATGCCGTTCGGCCCCCTCCCCCGCATCTTCAGCCCCCGAAGCTTCGAGAGCCAGGCCTCATTTCCTTCATCCCAGCCAAGTGCGAACGGCCACAGCCTTCGGGCGGGACAGCCGAGAACCGCTGGGCCGGGGCTCGAACGAGAGGAACCTGGGTTCTGCTCAGCCCCGCCCGCCGCTAGAGGAGGAAGTGACGTCACCCGTGACGGCGCGCCCCCTGGCCGGAGCGCGGCCTCTATCCACGCAGCCCCTCTCATCTGACCCCTGTTAGATGGGGGTCCAGACTCTACTGCCCCTTAAGTCCGGGTGACCTTGAGCCAGGCACTTTCCATCTCGGAGCCGCTTAACTGTAAAGCAGGGGTAATACTACTTGCCTTGCCTACCTCTCCCGGTTGTGAAACTCCACTGAGTTAATGAATAACGTTCACCTGTCGCTCCTCGTACATATACTGACTCCACTGAGCTAATAATCCTATGGAGTGCTGACTGTTGCCATGCCTGTTTTACTCCAGAAAACCGAGGCTGAAAAGTTTAAAGGACAGAAAAATATTTTGTAAACTGCAAAGCACCAGGTAAGTTTAAGTCTCTGTTTCTCTCAGTCCTCGTCTTTCTCCCTCTCCATCTCCCTCCCTCCCTCCCACTCTCTCTCTGTCTCTCTCTCTCTCTCTCACACACACACACACACCCTCCCTCCCTCTCTCTCTCACACACACCCTCCCTCCCTCCCTCTGTCACACACACACACACACACACACACACACACACACACACACGACTTCCCAGGCAGTGAAGAGCATGGAAAGGTACACGGCCTCATGAGATAGGGGGCCATGTAATGCAGGCTTGGTGCACCTTCCTCCCAGCCTCCAAAACATTCCAGAGAGGCATCTTCTCTTTTCACATTCCAGGGATCCTAAGCCTCCTAGGATCCTGAACTCACTCGCATGACATCCTTCCCAGCTGAAACCAGCAAGGTCCTTCCTGATGTGTAACCTCAGTGCCTCCTGTTTGTGAGTTCCTCACCACCCACCAGCAGTAAGTACCACAGCCCTACCGATCCTTTATCTGGTGCAGGTGGGCCAGGCAGGCACTGGGCCCAGTGGATGACCTAGAAATCCAGCCAGTTGAGACCTGCACATTGAGCAGTGACTTGTGCCTGGGGCAGGACAGGTGGCAGGCAGAACAGTTAAGTAGGTCAGGGTTGTTTGTGGTGTCACCCGCCCCCTGCACCTTTCTCTGCCTATAATCTGCTCTGGGCTGAACCAATTTAGGGTTATGTTTTAGCTTCTTCGTCAAAGGGGGCCTGGAACACTAAATAACGCCCAAGACAGAAAGCGATGCCTGGTGGGTGTGACGGCAGGAGGAGGACAGACATTTCTGGGCTGGGCTGACAACGGCAGGTAGGCAGGACTCAGTCACACCCCCAGGCCACAGATACTATGCCATTAGAGAGTCAAGACACGCTGATATGGGTATTAAAGAGGAGGTTACCAAAGATGCTCTATTTACAATTCCAGAATGGCTTAGACCACAATTTCTGGCTTTCTCACCCCACT